TTTTTTTCGTTCTGTTGCTAGACATTGTCTTAACCAGACCCATTCTCCTGACCATTTTGCGGGCAAAATGTCACAACTTCGAGGGCTTCTAAATTGGCAATTTCTACCTTAAAAGTCTCAAACCTTAAAATCGTGTATTTCAAAAGATATGTTTTATAGTATGAGAATTAACTGTCGCCTCATAGAAAACTTTAGAAGAGTTGAAGGGTTGAAGACAGTTGTAGCTCGGAAAATGTGGTTTTGTCACGAAAACCACCATTCTGGATATACTTTAAAGCCTTACGTTTTTTAAGATTTTCAGTTGAAATGTGTTCCTTTGGTTCGCTGCTTTTTGTTGTTGTTGTTGTTGTTGTTGTTGTTGTTTTTTTTCGTTCTATCGCTAGACATTGTCTTAACCAGACCCATTCTCCTGAGCATTTTTGAGGGCAAAATGGCACAACTTTGAGGGCTTCTAAAGTTGGCAGTTTCCGCCCTTAAAGTCTCAAACCTTTAAAATCGTGTATTTTGTATGGTTTAAAGTATTGAAAATTAACTACCGCTTCATAGAAAACTTTAGAAGAGTTGCTAAAAACATTACCATACTTTTAATCTTAACAGCGCTGCTGGGACGAGAAGAACAAACGAGAGTTAAAGCGATCTCAACGAGTAAGTAATGCCGCAAAAATGCAGTAGTTTGCCTGCCTTTTGTGATCAAGTCCCCTATTTTAGAATTCGTGGCTTGTTTAGCCTCTCTCTATCACGCTACAACCCGACGCGTGACTGAGTACCACGAGCAAATTCTTCTTGAGTGAACGAAATGGATCCTTCCAAATTAATATCGCTAAGAGTTGTAATCAATTTATTTCCTGACTTATTCAATTTCTTTTGTTAGACTCTACTGTCAACCTTCTGTAAAATAGTATTTCACGTTGAACGTTCTCTTTCATGGCACCCGTACAGATATTTGTACTTTTCTTTATTAATATTGTTCTGATATCCAGTTGGTGGTTTGTTGTTTCGTTTAGAGGGACGGAGCGCACATGCGGAGATTCTTCAGGGAGGTTTACATGGACAGTGTTTTCCCAATATTAAATTCCGCTGAATTGCCACCGTACATCTGGGGTAACGACGAAAGAGAAAAGGTGAGAATATTGTCTTCTCAGTTTCAAAATATTGCTGTAGCTATTGTCTTCTCGGTTGCTTTAAATGTCTGTTAAAACTGAAATGCTGCCCAAAACTCTAATGTCTGTCGCATAAAGGGAATAGGAGTGTCTCTTCTTCTCCTGTAGAAAAACAGTATTTTATATCAGATAACTGGATGATTTTTAGTATTATTTGACTTGGATCAGAAAAGCTCACCATCTCTGAGAATTTGTCAATCAGACCGTATGACATGCCTGTTTACATTGCCATATTGAACCATCCAGAAGAACCATTTATTATTTTTGTTTATTTTTTTTAGGAACGGCTTCTTTGGATTCTTAACCATTGCGACAAACGAACTGGTCTAGAAAGTTTACTGTCTCCTGATAGACTTTACAAACCTTTCAATGTAGACCGCTTCACTCTCGACTTATCAAAACTCGCGGCAACTTGACACTCGAGAACATACGGTTTCTTGGCATATTACAGCAAACTTTATCACAAGACTGTCCGCGCAGTGCAATTTGTGAAGCACCATGTCGACATGACCATGTCATATTGGTGAAGAACAAACCTGATGAAGTTTGAGTGTTTTCATATTAATTTATTGTCCAAATAAACTAAATTCTGTATTTTTAGACCTTGAATCTGAGAAAGCTGTACAAAGGTGTAGTTATAATTGTTTATTTATTTATTGAAACCTCTTATATTGGAGTGAAAATGTTGCTTCCCGATTCCGTTCAATTCAAACTAAATTGAAGTTACCTAAGTAGAATCAAAATATTTAAACTACTTCGAGCTTTCGGAGCCGTCACGGCGCCTTTTTGAAGTGATGACAACTGTTAATTGTCATATGGTCAATAATAACTAAATTGAAATCCAGTGCCAGGCCTCACTCTCAATCAAGACCATGGTTTTTCACCAACTGTATGTATGTACGGAGGCATTCTGTCACCTGACTTTGACGTTATTTTCACCTGTTAGTATGTCACTGTCAATCCCTCACCGGCATTTTGTACTCCTGTTTCTGATATTTTTTTTTTCGTGGGTTGCACTGTATCGAGATTTTCCGTTCCCGTGCGCGTTTCTTGGTGCGTTTGGTCCTAAACTCTAGTGGTAAAACTGCGATTTCGCTGGGCTCTTCCCATGCCTTTCCTGGTCCGTTAACCCGTAATTTCGCCACTCTTTATTTTCTCCTACGTTTTGTGCCTTGTTTTGCCGCATTGTCGAGTGAGTTACACTGTATCGGTGTTTTGCTTATCTGCCGTCGTTTCCTTACAGTATATCGTGACCTAAGAAACTTTAGTATTCTTATTATTGTGAGGTTAAGAGAAGGGTGTAAGTCATGATAAATTTTCGAGAGAAGGGGCTGTCATATCTGTTTCGGTGCTAAGTTTTCTATTTAAACAGTATTTTGTTAAGGAAATCGTATTAAAGGAAAATTGGTTTGTCATGTAATTTGCAGCTGTAAGTGAATAGCATGGTATAATTTAATTTTCCTTCTTATCCTTCTGGATGGGTTCCTTGCTGTTTCTATCTCGCCTTCCCTGGTCCGTTAATCGGTAATGCTGCCACTGTAGATTCCTCAAAGCATTTCGCACCCCATGTTTTTTTACTGGGCTACACTGTATCAATATTTTCGGTTTCTGCCCCATTTCCTCGCTTATTTTTTCATGAATCCAAGTTTTTACGCCCTCTGCAGTTTGGTTTGGTTCTTAATTGCCTCCCCTGGTCCGTTGACTCTGTGCATTCCTCCCTGCATTTTGAACCCCTGGTAACGCGCGTTACACAATATGCAATTTGCGTTCCTGCGCGCATTTCCTCTGTACGTGTTTTGTGGTTTTGTCATATTTGCAAGACAAAATTACAAGATTAACTGGCAGGCTCGAACTCCTGAAAAGTATGCATTCCTTCCCGGCATGCGTTTACTAATCTGCTCTTTGCGTGAACAGATCATATTAGTAATGGAGTACTGGGAGTGAATGACTTCCAGGGTGAACTGTGGATTCTTAGCCAAAGAGAAAAGAGACAATGACCACAGTGTGTGATAATAAAAACAATAATAAACTTTATCTACCCTAAGTCTACACGTTATAGTTCCGCTACATATCAGGGGCCCTCAAACAAATAACTCAAGTGAAATATAAAACGGATTAAGAATATTACAATATGCAACAGTACTGAGCAGAAGTTGATCGAAATTCAATACAAACGTATCATTGTAACTTCATTGCAATCATAGATATGACGCCGTCCGCAAATTATTAATCAATAGTACAATGGTGGCGAAAAGTGTTCTAAAATGTGTGAGTTTTTCAAAGGACTACCTAAACTGAGCGATTGTTAGATATTGCAAATGAAAATAAAAATCGGACTGTCAGGCGGAGCATTTGTAGATAGCTGATGGTGCAAAGTGCAAATTAAAAAACATGGGGCATCTGCTATATTCGCGCGGACTACGTCTGATAAGACTGGGGAGAGAAAGAATGAAGGCACGGAGTGTAGGACGCGCCTTCTTTTCTATGGTCCCCTCGAGTTCTTGAAGAAGTGAACTAATTATCGAGTCCTACAAGACCAAGTTGCTGAAAATTATGGAGGTTTCAGTTTCGCTTGGGTGGAAGTACTTTTCATTGTCCTGAGCTTCCTTGATTTGACCGTTGGTAAAAGCCAAAATTAAAGAAATTAGGAATAAAAAGAGAAGATGCACCGTAAATTTTCGGGAAAAATAGAATTGAGATTAAATACATGCCTTTTCATCAATTTAACAAAAGAATGTACACTGCCGCTCTTTGCTAGTGAGACATGAATACTGTAAACACTCGCATTAGCCACTTTATTTAAACGTCTATTTAGTTACCTATTATTTATAAGTTATTCCTTATCACCTACGTTACTAACTTACTACTTGACTAATTTTTCTGCTTTCGTTGCCAACTCAAAAGCGTCTGCTTCTTTGGCCACTACACACTTCTTTTTTTGGTTTGTGTTTGTGTTTCCTTTTTTTACTGCAGTAAATTTTTGTAATTGAAAACAGTGTGAGTAACTGAACTTGCACTTGAAGCCATTTAAACACAAAACTGAAGTCAAAGCTCCGTGCTAAAGTCCTGGTCGAACGGCACATCATAGTCAATGATACTTCGAGAAATCAATCTTTCCCTTAACTTTCATCAACTATAACTTACATGATCAAACGGCGCGAAGAAGTTTGCGATAATTATAACCTACATTAGTTTTTTTTAAGCTCCCTTATGCTTCTACTGCCATGCTTCTGCCGCGTAAACCATAAGCAAATAGTCCTGGATAAACTTAGGGCTTTTGTATACGGAAAAAAAATTTTCTGGTAGGGGGTTTCTAAATAGCAGAGAACAGTTTACATGAGAAAGCTTGGGTGAGCTCAAGTAGAGAACAACTTGCTTTAAAGGCAGAGAGTTTGTAGACACCACCCCTACCAGAGATAAATTGGGACATACAGAGCATGAGCAAACTCGAGATCTGAAGGGACCTGCTTTTTTTTACATAAATGGTAAAGGATAGGAGGGAGGGGTAACCCTCCTGATATAAGGAGAAACTATATCTTGATTACTTGCTACTGAGTACTGACTCCTAACTGATCATTTACTACTACTTTCGTTTCTCATTAACAAGTCTTGTCATGGAGTCACTTCTTAAAAAAATTAAATCGTCCCTTTGACTCAACCTGTGTCTGTAATAAGGGAACAGCTCTGTGCCAACTTGAATTTCAATACCAGACACTGGGTAAAACGCTGGTGCAAAGCAAACCTGCAAAAATAGAAGCATAGATAATCACTGCATCTCTGAAACAGATATGTTCACCAAATGAAATGATTTCCTCCTTCATACGAAACAGGTAAAAGGTATTCTCAATGTAACCAAGATATGATCTTTCCGTTGGTTGCGTGAAGTTTATTTTCAAGTAAAATTAAAGATTAATGCTTTGTAACAGCCCGTTTCATAAAATCTCTTTTATTTCGACAGGAGCACGCATTGGCCAAGGTTGAGCAAAATAGCGTGACCACTCATTGAGAGCTCTCTATCAATTGCTAGCATACCCAAGTGTCTGGCTACTGGTCAAAATCTCGCAATCTGATTGGGTACACAAGCAGTCAGAGTGCGCCTCCATCATTTTTGTGATTAGTTGAAAGGTAAATAAATCATGTGAAGGTAAATTAATCAACTTGACACGAGCGTGGGACAAAGAAAAATTCTGAGTCCCCGACAGGAATCAAACCAATGACCTCCCGAACAGCGGGCGGGCGCTCTATCCACTGAGCTACGAGAACTCATGGAGAGCAAGGTCATTTAACTGAGTTCATATATGACAGGTGTCCTGCATANTCCACTGAGCTACGAGAACTCATGGAGAGCAAGGTCATTTAACTGAGTTCATATATGACAGGTGTCCTGCATACTGCTAGGACCAAAGTCAAATGTCACGTAAATAAATCACTTTTGGTAACAGTTTGCCCAGTAGTAGAACATCCACTGGGGTTTGTTAAAACACTTCAACTGCTCAATCTCGGTCTCTATCGAATTCACAGGCGAGAATGAAGCCCCGAGTCAACTATCAGCTAATGAATACCTATAGGAAGCATTCCTAATATAAAACAAAAGTTGGATACCCGTTGACATAGAAGGAGTTCAAGATTATTAGCTTGGCTAGCAAAAGTTTCCTATTTGAGAAAACTTACTTTTATTTTCCAAAGTCAAATGTCACGTTATCTCCAATCAGCAAAAATGGTGCGCAGTCGCAAACCATGTCAAAGCCGTTACCTCTCATCCACTTCATGGCCTGATAAAGAGATTCACTGGCACTCTCACCACGAACAAGATGCTCGTAGAAGCGACACATCAGCTGCTCCGTTGCC